AGGACTTAACAGATGTATACAGATCACTACATCCAAAAACAGTTCTTTTCAACTGCAAATGGAACATTTTCTAGAATAGATCTCATTAGGCACAAAGCAAGTTTCAACAAACTTAACAAGACTGAAATACCATCAAGCATCTTTCTAAACAGAATGGTATGAAACTGTAAATCAGTTATGGGCAAAAAGCAAATACATTGAGGCTAAACAGCATGCTACTAAACAACCAGTAGATCACCAAAGAAATCAAAAAGTACTTGGAGAGCCATAAGAATAAAAATGCAATAGTTCAAAATCTTTGTTATGAGGGAAATGCAGTCCTAAGAGGGAAGCTTATAGCCATAAAGGTCTACATCAAGAAGTAAGAAATATCTCAAATAAACCATCTAACACGACAGCTAAAGGATCTCGAAAAAAAAAAAGAACAAAACCTAAAGTTAGTAAGGGAAAGGACATAGCAAAGATCAGAGTGAAAATAAATGAAATAGAGACTAAAAAAACAATACAAAAAGTCAGTGAGATGAAGAGCTGGTTCTCTGAAAAATTTTAAACAAAACTGATAAACCTTTAGCTAAACTCATCAAGAAAAAAGAGGTCTCAAACACAATCAGAAATGAAAGAGAAGTTACAACCAACACTACAGAAATACAAATGATTATGAGAGTATTAAGAAAAATTATACATCAACAAATCAGATAACTGAGAAGAAATGGATAGATTTCTAGAAATATTTATCCATTCCTGCTGAGACTGAAGCAGGAACAGGAAATTTGAACAGACCAATTACTGCAGATGAAATTGAATTGGTAGTCAAAACAGCATCACCCTGGCACCAAAACCAGATAAGGACACTACAAAAAAAGAAAACTGTAAGCCAATATACCTGAAGAACACAGATACAAAAATTGTCCACAAAATATTAGCAATCAGATTAAAAAATGCATTAGAAAAATCAGCTGGCACAATCAATTAGAATTTACTCCAGGGATGTGTGGATGGTTTAGTATCCACAAATCACCAATGTGATGTACCACACTAACAAAAAGAAGGATGAAAACCATATGATTATTTCAATAGACAATTAAAAAGCATCTGACAAAGTTCAAGATCCATTCATGATAGAAAATCTCAACAAAGTGGGTATTGAAGGCACATATCTCAACATAATAAAGGCCATATATGACAAACCCATAGCTAACATCATACTTAATGGTGAAATGTTGAAAGCTCTTCCTCTGCTATCAGGAACAAGCCATGGATGCCCAATCTCACCACTTTAATTTAACATAGTCCTGGAAGTCCTAGACACAGTAATTGGACAAAAAGAAATATAAGGATCCATATTGATAAGAAATAAAACTATCACTATTTGCAGATGACATGATACCAAATACTCCACCAAAAACCTATTAGAATAAGTAAATTTAGTAAAGTCACAGGATACAAAATCAGTGTCAGAAAAATGTTTCATTTCCATATATAAATAATGAACTAGCAGAAAAATTAAGAAAACAATCCCATTATAATTGCATCAAAATGAATACAATTACAATTGCACCAATATACCTACAAATAAATCTAACCAAGTGAAACACTTGTACTTTGAAAACAATTAAACTATTCTATGCTGGATAGGAAGAATTAATATTGTTAAAATGGCTATGCTACCCAAAGCAATCTACAGATTCACTGTAATCACTATCAAATATCAGTGGCATTTTTCATTACACCAGAGCAAATAATTCTAAAATTGTATAGAAACACAAGACATCAAAGAGCCACAGCAATCTTGAGAAAGAAGAGCATGCTGGGCATATCTGATCCCTGATTTCAAACTGTACTATAAAACTATGGTAATCAAACCATATGGTTCTGACATAAGAACAAACCCAAAGACCAATGGAACAGAAGAGAGGGCCCAATAAATAAACCTACACCTAAATAAACCTACACTTTAATGATCAATTAACATATGACAAAGGAGGCAAGTATATGTAGTGAGGAAGACACAGTCTCTTCAATAAATGGTATTGGGAAATCTGGACAGCTGTGTGCAAAAGAATGAAACTAGGTTACTGTATTACACCATACACAAAACTAAACTAAAAATGGAATAAAGATGTAAACATAAGATCTGAAACCATAAAACTCTTAAAAGAAAACACAGGCAATAAACTCCTCAACAGTAGCATTAGTAATTTTTTTCTGGATATGTTTCCCACGCAAGGGAAACAAAAGCAAAAATAAACAACTAGGTCTACTTCAGACTAAAAAACCTCAGCAAAGCAAAGGAAACTATCAACAAAACAAAAGGCAACCTACTGTATGAGAGAATATATTTAGAAACAATATATCTGATAAGGAGCTAATTATCCAAAATATATAAAGAACTCATACAACTTAAAACTAAAAATAATACTAATATAACCTAATTAAAAAATGGGCAGAGCACCTGAATAGACATTTTTCCAAAGACTTACAGATAGCCAACAGATACAATGAAAAGACGCTCAACATCACTACTCATCAAGGAAATGTAATACAAAACCACAATGAGATATCAGCTCATACCAGTCAATAGGCTAGGATAAAGACATGAAATACCAAGTGTTGTACAAGGATGTAGAGAAAAGGGAACCCTCCCACACAGATGGTGGGATTGCAGATTGGTACAGTCACTATAAAAAGCAGTTCGGAGGTTCCTCAAAAAAAACTAAAAATAGGAATACCATTATGGCCCAACGATTCCACTTCTGGGAATCTACCCAAAGAAAACGAAATCATTAATTTAAAAAGATACATGCACCCCTACGTTTATCGCAGCATTTTTTACAACAGCCAAGATATGGAAGCAATCAAAGTACCCATTAATGTAATGGTACATATATAAAACATAGTATTATTCAGCCATAAAAAAGAAATCTTGCCAGCTGTGACAACATGGATGGACCTAGAAGGTATTAGGGCAATAAGTCAGAGGAAGATAAATACCATATGGTTTCACTTATATATGGAATGTGAAAAACAAAAATGAACAAAAAAGAGAAACAGACTTACAAACATAGAGAATGGATAGTTGATTACATAGCGGGTGGTGTCAAAGAGGTAAAGGTGATAAAGAGGTACAAATTTCAGATTACAAAATAATTTAGTCCCAGGAATGGGAGTATAGGAATTAGTCCCAGCATAGGGAATATAGTTCATAATATGGTGATATCTTCATATGGTGACAGATGGTTAACTACAACTTATGGTGAACATTTAATAATGTATATAATTGTTGAATCACTAAGTTATTAATCTGAAACTACTACTGTATATAAACTATATTTCGATTTAAAAATTTTAAATAATAGCTCTCTGATTTCTCATATTTTTGCTTCCTGTAAAACATTAACACATCTTATCCTCATGTGTACATATGTTCTTCAAGATATTTTCTAATCCAGTGTTTCAATTTTTGTCCCCACTATTAACTGTCTCCATCTGTCCATATTTTGTAGTTTTAAATTCTCCAGGGAAAAATCTGATTAGCCCAGTTGATACAGGCTATAATTCACTAGTCTTGGTTTGGTTTTCTAATGTCCACTCAGCCACAGCCAGGCTAAATACAAAATGAGCAAAATGAGACTATCCATACAGCAAGTGCTAAGATCAAGACAGTATCCCTTAAAAGGGAGCTTTAGCATGGCAGTCATCTAGAGGCTTGTCCAGCCAGTATGCTGTCCAAACAGAATGTCAAAGAGAGTGGGACCTTTAAAACAAAACAAGAAAACTGAAGGCTCAACTGTATTATTCACCTTTACCTAGTTGCATGTCTGAGAGAGTATGGCCCATCATATTTTATTCCTTCCTCCCTTGTCCCACCTCGCACCTACACACCATCACAATATAGTGACAGTTTCTTAGAGAACACTGTGAAATTGCACTGTATTTAGTTAAAGAATATTTTTTTTTTTAACAACCTCCTCTTTTTTAAATCAAGATATAACTGACATAAAACATTATACTAGTTTCAGGTATGTGGTATGATTTGATATTTGTATATACTTGCTTAGTGATCACCACAGTAGGTCTAGTTAACATCTATCATCAAACAGTTACAAATTATTTTTGTCTTGTGAACTTTTAAGACCTACCCTACTAGCAACTTACAAATATGCAATACAGTATTACTAACCATAACTACCCATAAATAATTTTCCAGCTGGGTAGAAAATGATTATATATGAGTATATTACTTATTCATCAAATACTTAAGAACCTACCTTATTTCAGGAACTGTGCTACCAGCTGGAGATAAAAATTCAAGTCAAAGCCCTTCCTTGAAAAAGATATACTTAAGAAAAAAACAGATATTAAGAAAAAGGGTCTTTTATAGTTTCAATATTTGTTGGATTATGACTAATTAAGCAAGACTACTTACAGAAGTATGTTATTTTACAACTTTCATATATAAAACTAAAACAACAAAAATCACCACTATTTGCACCTGTCTACAAAAAAAAAACACTGCCTAACTAAATGTGATATATTGTTTTCAAGTTTTATCCTTTAATATTTGCTTGCAATTTGTTCATTTTTGTTCTTCATCAGTCTGGGCTAATATACAATTATTAAGAAGAATGAGGGAAAAGCTCACATTTTACATTTTTAAATCTAAAGCCAGTAGCAATTCCATGTTTCCTGATCATATTTTGACCTAATGTGTCTGTCGTTCAGCCCTACAATAACAAGACAGCTCAGATTTATATCTATGGTCCCTTTTCTTGTTATCAGTTTGTCAGAGACCAGATTTGAAAGCTTGATAATGATAATGATAATAAAGGTTATGAATATGACTATATATCATTATACCCATTTTACATGAGCATTAACTGGGGCTTACAAGAGGTTTAAAATTGCCCAACATCTCACAACTAGTAAATGGGGAAGTTAGGATTCACACCCAGGAAATCTGGTTCCAGTAATGATGCTCTCACATCATACTATCAACTTACCAGTAAAACAGCTCCCAAAACAGCCAATGACAAACAGCCAACTGAGTAAGATGGAGCTCTAGACTACATGCAACATTAAAATATCTAAAGAAAAAAAATATATGTATATAAATATGTGCTACTGACTTGATTCATTCATTCTAAGGCACCAGCACTTACACCCACCATTGCTTTTCCATCATCTGCGCAGATGTTGACACAGTGAAAAGTCAAATAATACCTAAGAATTATAAAAATAGGTGTGATTTCACAGACCCCATGGAAGTTAGAAACAAGAGAATTGCTGATCTCGGCTAGGCTGTTAATGGGATGCTCCCACAAAGGAATTTCAACCTTGAGGGAGTAATGCTGATAGAGGAACTTCATGATAGAAATAGACTGGCTTCCTAACCAGACTTTTCCTGTGGTGTAAGCACAAATTCAGAACTGCCTTTGGTTCCTTCCTATTTTCTGGCTCCATCCTCATCAGTTCTGTGAGTTATGTAACGTTCTTCCAATAAATCCCTTTTCTGCTTAAGTTAGTTAGCACAGGCTTTTATTTTAGTCAGTGGAGAAACTTCATTGGAAGAGGAATCAAAGGTTCAATTTAGAGTTTAATTGGTTGTGTCTGCAATCACTTACTGCTATTTCTTCTTGTGTAATCTGCTGCCATTTACTCTGAATGAAAATGCCCATCAATAGACCAAGGTTCTAAAAGCCTTGCCACAATAAAACCCAATTAACCAGTACCCAACAGAAAAATTTCTCAAGATCCCACAAAGCATGAGAAACAGTAGGTGTGGATGACCTCTTGAGTAATATCTGTGTTATTCATCTTTGCAAGTCAGGTTATTGATTTCATGCAAACAAGCACCGAATTTTTACCATTGTGTTCTCCACATAAAGTGAAAAGGGGAGCTGGTTTCAGTGTACAGTCTAGACTTACCCTGTCAAACTATGATATCCAGAAGAAATCTGAAATTTTATCATTTTCCCCTGAGAGAGATGCTTTATCCAAACTTTCCATCTTTCTATTACTTTACAAAACTACCTCACCATGGCAAAATACTAAATTTCTAAAAATGAAGCAGCTTTTCTTAGGAATCTTGAAGGTGATGAAAAAGTAATTTAAAGTAATGAGAAATACAGATTTTGGGGTGTGTTGGCCAAGATCAAATGAACTTACAGATAAAATGTGAAATCATTAAGAGATGAAAGCTATAATGCTTACTCTTTATACATCATATTTTCCTCCCCTCTAGCGTCTCCTTTCCATCAATCTCTTCTATGTTGTCAAAAAGAGATGGGTAATGGAAAATAATCATTATTGTACTACTAGTTCCAATTAGTTTTTCCAAAAGTTAATATTTTAGATTTCTCAAGTCATTAGCATAGTCATAACAATAAAAAACCCAATTTGCCTATCTTTGTTCATTTTACATATCTCATAGTTAAAATAACATACATAGCACACAAAATAAAGGGAAAATCTTGCAAAATACAACCATCCATTGCGATCACCATGAATAAAATGTAAATTAACACAAAGGTATTGGCTCACACTTTTCTCCAATGGGGTAAATACAGATCATTATTTTTCACAAGAAACTCATTCTGTCTGGGTAGATTATATTCCCAAATAAGAATTAAACCAATGATGATACATACTTGATATGAATTAATGAAAACTTGTAAGGAAAATACATTTTTAAAAGAACTTGCCAAGTGAAACAAGCTAAGAAATCGAAAAATTAAACAATTCACCACATGCTTAACAAAAACATGTCATATTTCATATAGTCATTTAAAACTGCCTATCTTAAGTTATAATTTGTTAAATATAAAAGGCAGCTAGATTTGATAGCAGATGAGGTGCCTCTGCAACTGGTGAATATAAAGGAAAATGTAAAACTATGATTGCATGTTATCTTCAACCAAAAGCAAGAATCACCAAAGTAAATACATTCCTAGCTTCAAACTAAAACCTATCTAAAACAAAGCCCTTCTACAGTTAGAGATGATGAATTCTGAGAAGCAGAAATATAAGGAGACCAGGTTTCAACTGATATTTGTATACATCCTCTGGTTAGAACATCTTTCCCAAGATCCTGGAGAGTTAAAAGAGGAAAACTGAAGCAGTAAAGTCATTAAATTGGCATCTTGTCTCCCCCAAATGTAGAGACCAAGTCTTATTTATGTTTGTATTTATTTACTCTTTCGTTCACTCACTCATTGAACAAATCTATAAACACTTACTAGATCAAGGAAAGGCTAGGTGCTGAACATCCCTGGCATTCAAAAACTATCTAAATAAATGAAAAAAAATGAACAAATACATGAAACAAACAGAAAAGTAAAACTTACCCTAGACATCCTAACATCATCAGAACTACTGAAGTGAACACCTTGTAGTGTAATCATATGATCACATGTGCATAACTTTCAAAGCAGCCCCAACCCCACCCATCCCTTCCTGCCTCTTCCTACTGGGACAGTCTCCCACGAATCCAGCAGCCACATAAATTGCTGGATGCTGGAGAAAAGAAGGTCCATGATGGTGATTAGATGGATACCAATGGGTGCTATCAATGGATAGCCATTAGAGGGCAGCAGAGGATGCGCTGAGGCAGCAAGAAAAGAGAACTGCAGCAGGTCTATTGTCACCGCTGGGCACATTAGCTTCATAAAGGATCGTAATTGATGATATGAGTGGGTGCACTGGAATTCCTTTCTCAAAAAGTATAAATCAACCAGTTTATTCAGAAAGTTTAGTTTTTTTTGAAGAGCATTTTTAACAACCAGTGAAAACCCATTAGGATAGCCTAAGGCTAACTGAACCATCTTTAATAAGTCTGGATCATGTAGAGATGTAATGGAAATGAACAAAATAAGAATGCAGCCTGCTTATTAGCCTTGTACTTCCAGAAGAAATACTACAGCTTTCCTTAAATTTAGGTAAGAAATATCTTCAAGTGTTGTAACAAAGTAAGAACAGTCTTAGAGATGAAAACAAGAGAGCACACATACTAGTACTTGCCTGGGTTCATCACTCCATATACCCATATATAAAATTATACAGAAATAAAAATTATACAACTTTAGGTAACACACCAGTAAAGCAGATCAACAGCAGAAAATTTATATAAATTTTTTTGTTATTGCAGGCAGGTATATAATTATTAATCTGATTTTATAACAACATTGACAGTTTTAAATGAAAGAATAATATTTCTGGATAAATTTTAAATGAAAATGGATCAGCCCAACAGAGGATATAAACATTATAAATATCTATGAACCCAACATAGAAGCACCTAAATATGTAAAACAAATACTAACAGAACTAAAGAGGAAAATGGACTGCAACTCATACATATTAGGGGACTTTAACACACCATTTATATTAATGGACAGATCAACCAGACAGAAAATGAATAAGGAAACAGAGGCATTGAACATGGAATCTACAGAACACTCTACCCAAAAGCAGCAGAATACACAGTGTTCTCAAGTATACATGGAACATTCTCCAGAATATATCACCTACTAGGCCACAAAAAAGAGCCTCAATGAATTCTAAAAGACTGAAATTGTATCAAGCAACTTCTTAGACCAAAATGGTATGAAACTAGAAATGAATTGCACAAAGAAAACGAAACAGCCCACAAACACATGGAGGTTAAACAACATGCTTCTAAATAATCAATAGATCAATGAACAAATCAAAACTGAAATCAAGCAATACATAGAGACAGATGACAACAAAAACACAAGAGTCCAAAATTCGTGGGACACCACAAAAGTGATTCTAAGAGGGAAGTGCACAGCAACACAGGCTGACCTCAGGAAACAAGACCAATCCCAAATAAACAGTCTAAACTCACAATTAAAGAAACAAGAAAAAGAAGAACAAATGAAACCCAAAGTTAGGAGAAGGAGGGACATAATAAAGATCGGAACAGAAATAAACAAAAATAGAAAATAAAATACAGAAGAAAAAAATTAATGAAACCAAGAGACAGTTCTTTGAGAAGATGAACAAAATAGACAACCCTCTAGTCAGATTTACCAAGAAAAGCAGAGAAAGTACATATATAAACAAAATCAGAAATGAAAAAGTAATGGTCACAATAGATACCACAGAAATACGAAGATTATTAGAGAATTCTATGAAAAATTATATGTGAATAAGTTGGACAACCTAGAACAAATGGAAAAATTCCTAGAAAAGGACAAATCTTCCAAAACTGACCGAAAAAGAAACAGAATATAAGAACAGAACAATTACCAGTAAAGAAATTAAACTGATTATCAAAAACTCCCAAGAAACAGAGGTACAGGACCAGATGGCTTCAGAATTCTACCAAACATTTAAAGAAAAGCTAATATCCATCCTTCTTAAAGTATTCCAAAAAGTAGAAGAGGTAATACTTCCCAACTAATTCTATGAAGCCAGCATCACTCTAATACCAAAAACAGACAAAGACACTACAAAAAAGAAAATTATAGACCAGTTATCCCTGATGAACATAGATGCAAAATCCTCAACAAAATATCAGAAAACCAAATTCAAAAATACACCAAAAGGATCACCCATCAAGACCAAGTGGAATTTACTTCAGGGATGCAAGAACGGTACAATATTCATAAATAAATCAATGTGATACACCACATTAACAGAAAGGAGTAAACCACTTGATCATCTCAATGGATGCTGAAAGAGCATAAGAAAACTGAACATCCATTCATGGTAAAAATTCTCAACAAAATGGGCATGGAGGGTACATACCTCAACATAATAAAAGTCGTACAAGACAAACCCACAGCTAACATCAACCAATAGCAAAAAACTGAAAGCTCTTCCTCTAAGATCAGGAACAAGACAAGGATGTCCACTGTCACCACTTTTATTCAACATAGTGCAGCAGTCCTAGCCACACCAATCACACAACACAAAGAGATAAAAGGCAGGAAGAAGTTAAACCGTGACTATTTGTAGATGACATGATATTATGTATAGAAAACCCTAAAGACTCAACCAAAAAACTGTCAGCATTAGCTGGATTCAGCAAAGTTGCAGGATAAAAAATTAACACACAGAAATC